TACAGCAAGACACAAAGATTATTTTTTTTTTTTTTAATTATTCACATAATAGGGAAGAGGAGATGTGGCTGACACAAATTTATCTCAGATACAAGGTATCTCCCAAACACTACATTAAAGGTCCTTTCCAATCTAAATGAATCTATGATCACAGGGTTTTTGAAATGTACTCATCTTCCATAAGCACTGCAGATCTATCACTCACAGACTTCAGAGTAATTGATCTGTTGTTGGCTATGTATCTCTGTTACAAGATTACAAGACAGTGATCCAGGATTTATAAGCACAACATTAACCTTTGCTAGCAGGAGGTATTCTGTAGTCAAATGCTGCAGCAGCACTAACTTTTCACAACCTGTAGTTCCGTTATCAAAAAAAAAAAAACCCACAACCCACACAACTAAGAAAGGCTTTATTGTATGACACACGGCAGATACTCACTGTATTCTATCATCATGTGAATCACATGGAAAGGGGCCCAACAGACTGCAAAGAGAAACACCACTGTCACCATCATAACAATTGCTCGCTTCTTCTTCCTGAAATTGCATCAAGACATTCCATACTGAATCACCAGGAATTGACTGGTAGTTCGATGTGTCTCTTCAAGTTAGATCTGTAAGTATGTTCTCATGGCTGCAGATGCAAATAAAAACCTGGAAGAATGCTCAGAAGTACACAACTCCCTTTGAAACAAAAAAGGCAGCATCATATAAATCGAGTACGTTAATTAACATCTTTTATTTATCTCTTTTAGGAAAGCAATGCACTCTGCAGCTGCAGCAAGCAATGACATTAGCATATCTTGCAAGGCATTTTCACTCTATTCAAGTAGATGTAATTACAATAGTAAGAGATAGGGTGGAAAAACACACATGAAATTCCATCATAGCTCAACAAACAAGAGTCCCTTCCTAGATCTGGCAGCACTGACCATACCTACAGCACCTGATTACACAGAGCATTTGACAGAGAGTAAGTGAAACTACACCTGCAACATTCAACCTTTGCTAGTAGGTAAAGTGCTAGTACAAGAGCAAGAAACACACTCCTTGCCTCCACTGTAACAATCTTACAAACTCAAGGTATACATGAATTTATCGTCATCCCCAAATTGACTTATAATTCATATAACTACATTTATAGATTCCAAGATGGATCTTTCACTTGAGCTAAAGCAGCAGCACTTCACTGGTAGCAGTTACAGGATCTTCTCCCCACTGTGCAAAAATAAACGGAGTATCCCAAAGATTACGTGCCACCTTCACTTCTGTGAGACTGCATCCTCTTTCACTTTTGACTTACAAGGGTCCACTTCTTTACGCACTTTGTTAGACAAATACCTAAGGATAAGTGCTAAATAGAAAAGTTGGTAATTATTGATTTTCATAACTTTGCAGACAGAGCATTACCATCTGGATAGTCTCATACAAACATATCTGAGAACACTCAAAACTCTTTGGAAGCTATATCAAGTTAAACTGTACCAAAGTAGTTTTCAAAGGAATTCTGATTTTTTTCCCATATGCCAATTTGACTTATAATAGGATCATAAAGCAGTGTTTGCAGTCTCAGAATTAAATAAAGAACTTCCCATAGAACATATGGAAATAATGTAGCAGCATTTTCCCCAAGTCATCTTCCAACTCATGGCCTACATCTTTTAAAATCAAGCATTTCACAATGTATGAGATTTATTGAAAGGGCTTGACTTCCAAGGTGTTGCTACACTATACTTTGAAGAAAACAATCTGTTTAAGTTGCCTTAAATTGGGTATCTAAGTGTTCAATAACTAGCTAGCTTTAAAAATCTTGTCTATTCTTGTAGACTTCCCGACACATACAGAAAGACAGATTTTATTTTTTTTTCCAAACTGGTTTTCAAGAACTGTCAGAAAAAAAAAGCTTTCCAGAAGTCAAAGTTCCAACTGTATTTTACTTTACAAACCTTGATATTTTAGACATTTGACTCCCATGAATGGTTTGAAGAACTGAAGCATCTCCCACTCTTTTCTTAATCCAGAGTTCATAGCCAATTTTAGTGTACAAAAAAAGCATCAACATCAGTGGAAGAAGGAAGAGTATAACAAGAATAAACGTTGTATATATCTTCTGATAAATTGGACTGGCCCATTCTTCCAAGCAACAAACATACGCTTTTTCATACAGAAAGTCATATTTAACCTGTAACAAGCGTAAAGGAGATGAGTCACTACAGTGTTTACCCATGCGTAAAAACCAAGCACATTCAAATATTGCTTGCTTTTAATACAAGAACCAAAATTCAACTGCAAGACTTTTCAAAGTGACAAAATTCTTCCAAGCACTTGTCCACATCCAAGTTGACAAAGAGAGACCAGGAGATGCTCTGATTTGCACTCTTCCTCAAAGTGGTGGTGTGTTTTTTTTTTTTAACAAGAATTTTCCAAGGAGACCTTGGCTACACATTTTGCAAGTAAAGATGGGTGTATAGAAAACTCACCGATTAGTCACTTTAAAAAAGGATTTGTTAACATTCAGACTCACAAACAGCAGATTCTGACAAGCCTTTTTCTTTTCCTCCAAAAGCGCACAGTAACTCCTTAAACTATGATAGGAGCTAACTACATTTTAAACTAGGCACAGCTCTTCCAAATCTCAGGGAACACTATGTCATCCTGAAACAGTAATCTAAGCCCTACACCGCTGCGTGGCAGTGCACCTATAAACCAAAAGGAAGACACAGTGGGAGTCATAAATGTAATTACTGCTCTTTAACATAATTGGGGATGGTAGACATGACTAGTCCCTGCTGGTAGTCCTTCCTCCAGTGCATGCAAATCCTAATCCTTAGCCTATCTCATGCTGGCACACAGAACAAAAGCTCCATTTCTCTTATCCCACTCTCATTTCTTAGGAGTTTATTGAATTTCATCACTAAAGGTACAAAAAGATCCAGCAAGGACTGAGTTGAAAAATGTTAATTCCCATTTCACCTAACATACCTCAAGCCGTTGCACATGCCACATAGGTGACCCAACAATAAGTGCCAGCAACCAGACTATGCCTGTAAACAAACACATTTTTTAATACTTTGTACAACAAGCAGCATAAGTTTTGGTACGAACAGATTAACACCGTCATCTTTAAAAAGTCAGGCAAAGTAGACAATTTAAATAAAGAACAAAGTTTTTTATATGAGGCATACATCAGTCAGCATTCACATGCTCTTTTGCTATCAGTTTCCTTTCCATCAAACTACCTTCATTTATTGGTATTCAAGCGTAAAAGCAACTTAACTTGCATGAGCAGCATTATGCACGTTCTCTTTGTGTTAAAATGGAAGGACCATTTCCAGCTGTGACATTGCTTTAGCAGTGCTTGTACACTTTGAACCTTTCTTTAAAAAAAAAAAAAAAAACCAGGAGAGAAAGAAAAGGCTGCCAAAGGTTTATCAGAGTCTTGGTTAATAAATCTTTGACTTCAGATTCTAAGTCTATTGTCAGGGTTTTGGCTAGTAATTACTACACATACAGGCACTCTCCTTCAGCTACTTCATAAATGTTACAGACCTATTAACTCTACCTCTGAATCACTGGTCATATCAGTGCCTCCTGTTCTGTCATACCGTCTACATCAGCTACACTGAAGATTATTTCTCTATGCACACAATTACTGGAGATGCCCAAAATCTTACCAAGCATCGTGAAAGCTCTTTTATTGGTGTACTGCCACTTCATTTTTAGTGGATGCACAATTCCCTGGTGTCTTTCCACAGCAATGCAGGTCATCGTAAGAATCTCAGTTACAATAGCAGTGGATTGAACAAATGGTACCATCTTGCAAGCAAATGCACCTGCAATAGCCAGAAAGTAAGGTATTCAACTGTTGTAGTTAACGAAAAAGCTATTAATACTAGACTTCATTACTGAAGTGTTATTGTGCAAAAAGAACAGACTAAGATTCTTAGATTTAACAGTTAAACTGCTAAGTCACCTAATTCAAGTCATTCATCAAATAGAGCTTTCAATAGTCATTCCTCCATCGTACACACTATATCTGCAAAACCAAGACTTCTAAGGATATATTCGCTTGCTCTGTATCAGTCTGGCACTTCCATTTCACTTTTGACAAAGTCCTCCATCATCTGTTTTCAAATATGACAAGTTACAGGGATATTTATTATCTTCCTATCTTGGCAAATTACTCTCCAGTTTTATGAAGGTCTCAGTGTTACCTGTTTATCTTTCCTGCTGTTGCAAATACATTCCTTCTGCTCATCTAAATACCACTCCATTTGTACACTTTGGCACTTAATGCATCATTCTGTCAAGCAATATATATATATACACACAGGAGTCCTCTAAGAGGTGTAACATAAGAGGAAAAATTCAACCTCTTCATCATCTTTCCATTCTCCAATTCGCTCTCTTTCTCAATTAACACATTATGTTAATGACAATATCCAAATTAAACACAAATTCCTGCCTGCATTTTCACAATTGTATAGGTTCCCATTGTATTTATGCACATATCTTCAGCATTCATTGCTGCTATAGCTTCCCAAAAGTACATATTCAATTCTTAACATACTAGTCATTCTCTATTACTCATCCTCAAGTCCTAGCCATCTTAGAAACTGCGGTGTAAATTACCCTCTCAAAAATCGTCTGTTAACGCCTTTCCCAACCTAACTCTCATTTACTCATTTTTCGACCGTATTTCTGACCCCGAGATAATTTTGTATGTCCACGTTCTCACAGTTCTCTCGCATTCCCACAGTTCAGTATCAGCTATACACTTCAGCAACAGCTGGTGTTATTTCCCTTGCTTGATCATTAATTATATCTTACCCAAACATAATCCATAAACCCAAAATAGCCAAAGGAATATCTGATTCAATCGTAAGTCAAGCTTTAAGCTGCTGGAGACACCTTAAGCAATAAAAGCTTAGGAAACAGAAAGAAAACAAACAGGAAACTATCAAAACTTAATCTTACCCTCCATGAAGGGAACAAGGAACAGGGAAACTTCTGTCTGCTAGGCCAGGCTAAAAGCCACTGTAGCTTACAAGAAGGAACTGGTTTGCTACTGGTTTTATCAATTCTAGCTGCCTCCCCCCCACCTCCCGCCCCCCAAAAAAAACCCAAAACAAAACACTTTTTCTGTGGCTCCAAAAAGGGAAGGATAGGGCAAGGGGTGAAGCATGGAAGTCAAGTACCTTTCAAGTACGTGTTGAACACCAGCAACACTGTGAATGTGCACGCAGAGCTGGTTTAAAACAGAATAAAAAATAAACTGTGCAGCCCAGTTTCAAGCTACTTGAATGAAGTCTTAGCATGGTCAGTAGGAACTGCATGGCAGACGATGAATGGGGCTGCATGTCTGTTTCTCACCTAGTATGTATTTTTACCGGGTATCAGAAAGAACAAGACACCTCGACATCCTGTATCAACTGCAATTTATACAACTAAATTGCCCCACACTTCCTCCTTGGCTTCAGTAAGCACAAAGTAAAAGTCTTATGAAGCACAGCCAGTATCTTATTAACTCAGCATCTCACCTGTTTCTCACTACACCCAGTACAGCATGTGCTACACATACAAGCACCAGACACACTCAAATTTATAGCCCTTCAAGCAGTGTGTTGAAACTTCTGTAATGAGATAACAAAAAGCAAGCTCAAATCATACCTTCTTTGCACATGGCAAGTGGTGAATACAACCAAAGAAGACATTAAGGCACACAATCTCTGGCCACTTCTGAAAATCAGCTTACTGTCATGAGTAAAGCAGAGCTAAAATGATCTTCAGCCAAATCCAAAGCCCTTGAATCAAAAGGAGAGCTTCTACTATTGGTTTCAAGTTTTTTCTTCACTAAGTTAGAAGTGACTCCTGATACAAATAACATGAACAGAAAAGCAAAATTTGTATATGAGAGAAATGTTTTAAGTTCCTGTTTCACTAAAGAAATTAATTTGAGTGCTGGAACTGTGGAAGAAACAAACCAACCAACCACAACTTTCACCAAATGCTGTTTCTTACAGTTTGAGAAAGGTCAGAGTTAAATAAAGTCCACTTGAACTATACTTCGTTACAGGGGTTCTCCTGTAATGCTCTATTCTTTCACTGAACTCCCAGCATTCCAGGGTATTCTTGGGAAGCAAAGAAACATCACTGTTACTCTACTCAAGTAACAAAATGAGACAGCAACTTTCACTGAAGTTATATGAGTCTGCTGGAATTTCCTGCTTGTGCCCAACTATTTAAAGAGCAAACAGAATACCAGAGTTCATCAGGTAGTAACTCCCAAACTCCCAGATTTTCATTGCCTTTTACTGACATCTTCTCATTTCTTCCCAATAACTACACTGTCAAAGAGCACCAACTACCACTATGTCTTTAGCTGAACCCCCAGGAGAAAAGGCTGCAGAAACTCCTTACTTCACTTCTTTGAAGACAAACGCACAAAAGGTGACCACCTAAGCTATATAAAAGGAACTGTTAAAAAGGTAGTAAAAGGAAGAGTTTACACAATGCCTACAGATTGATCCTACCGAGCTGAAGGAGGAGTAACATTAGCACTTCCAGAAATGTAAAAAAAAAGGATGTTTTTCATTAGACACAGTTGACTGAAACAGAAACACCTGTTCCAAGGCACACGGCACACATTTTGGCTCCTTGGTGGCCAAAGTGAAACAGCCACATGCATTTTTATAACCAAGAAGTAACATGAAATTTTCAAAAGGACAGTAGCTACAAGCTACTCAAAAAGCCTCTATATATCAATAGTAAAAATAGAACAGTATTTCAACCTCCCTGAAGGTTCTCATGCCACCAAGCCCAGGGTGTCTGACTATCAATTGTATCAACGTTACCATATTGCTTTAGGGCTCCTTTGCTTGCCCTGAATTGTTACTCACCATACATACACTCCCTGTCTTGTGAAATGATGATAGTCTAGTGTTTCAAATGCTAAACTTCACCAAGGTTAAATGACTGTTTTGTTTGCATGAGTGTTTGGGGTTTGAAACAGATTGGGGTTTTTTGGGGGGAGAAATACAGTGTTTAGAGTGTCATGACCAAATGAAAAGTCATCAACTTCAATGGAAATCTGACATCAACAGGTTTGAGATCCAGCTCCATCACCTTTATGTGTTCGAATGAGATTCAATCCTGAGATATCAGAGGCATCGTACTTGACAGAACAGGGAATGTTTTCCACACAAAGCCTGTTCTTAGTTTTCAAAACTTTCATTATTTTATTTATAAATATATACCAGCCATTCCAAATCGCTTAGATAATTACTAAATACTTTCTCCACGTCTTTTAATACTAAAAATTATATAGCCTATGTTTTCAAACTACAGACACTATCAATTTTTGTACACATGGAAAATGAGAATCAATTACTGTTAAATAAGGTAACTATTTCAGAATGGTGACAGTTGGGTTGGGGTAGTGTAGAGAAAAAGGAAAAAGACAACCTGAAACTATCATTTCAGAATACTAAAAAGCTCAGAGTGATCCCACTAGTTATTCTAGGGATATTCTAGGGATATTCTGAAACAGAACATCTATATGGAGATTAACTTTTCAGTAGATCTTTTCAAAATACTGTCTCTGAGTCCACAAGCCCTAAATCACATTCTTTCCTAACAGAAAGCTTGTCCTTGTTGGGTTGGAATTAGATTACTGAAAGGATTTCAGAAGTCCTTTATGAAAGTCCAACCATCATTTTGTTCTTTGGGATTTAGCTGCCTAATGTCCAAAGTGTTGATTCTACTGCACTGCTCCTTCAGATACTTCCAGACTACAGGTTCCCAGCATGGCCTCACAGAGCTGTCTCAGTCAGTCTTGACAAACACAGAAGAGAATTAGAGAACCATGGAATAATGCTGGTTGGAAACAAACTCAGGAGGTCTCTAATCTGACATCATGGCTCACAGCAGGATAATCAACCAAGCCAAACCAAGCCAGATGCAGCCCAGAGGATGCAGATCTTGAAAATCTCCAAGGCTGAAGAGAGCACAGCCTTCCCCAGGTCAGCCTCTTCCTCTACTTGACTGTCCTTCACATGGAAAAAGATTTTCCTTATATTCTGTCTGACCTTCTTGTTTGAAATGGACCATCTCACAAGAATACTTATGGATTTTCACAGCAAATAAAACAAAAAACCACACCACAATACCTGCAAACTTGCATACACCCTATTAGGGAAACAGGTATTGAGGTCTAGATTCTGATCCAATAATGCATGCACATTTCACTTAATATTTAACCCATTTGTGTAAAACAGGCTTCACCTGCACCAACAAGAAACCAATGAAAACCCATTCTCAAGTGCCTGTTAGGTGAAAGTCTGTTCTGGAAAAAATGAGTAAAAAAACCAATTTTTTACTACAAGCAAGACATGTTAAGTTTTGGGTTTGTTGGGGTTTTTTTTGGGGGGGACAGGACAGGGACAGACACACAAAAACAAATACCAGTTTAGGCAGTGAAAATAAAATAAGACTGAGACAGCAAAAACCAGCTGTGTGAAATACTGTGATACATTAAATACATGTCTAGCTAGTCTTGATGTTTGTGTTCAGACTTACCACAGAGTAACAGAAAATCTTAAAGCAACACATTAGTTTACCCTTTTTTTCTAATCAAGCTGATAAAAATGTAGCTGTTTAGAACATGGTTTGGAGATAATATGGTTTAACAGCTAGTATTATTCAAGTCTTCTTTCCATTCACTAACATGACTGCTAGATATTTTAGTTATTGGTACCAAGTGCTATGTCCTTGTCATGGCACACTCACCTATAATAAATGAACATTGGATTAAGAATACAACAAAGTTCTGT